CGGGAGGGGATCGCGAACAAACAACGGCGGCCATGTTGAGAGGGCATCGGTGCGCTAAACTTCTCGGGCAGGCTGCCGGGCGCGCGCCTCACCGGGGTCTCCCCCCCTGCCCGGCCAGGATGACAGTGAAGTTGGGAGACGGCGGCGGCGGCGGGGAGGACGGGCTCAAGCGGCTGGGCAAGCGGGCGGCCGACGACGACTCGCTGGAGGGCGAGGGGCCCGGCGGCGGGGACGCGGCCGACGAGAGCGGCGGCACAAAGAGGGACGCCAGGACCCCCCGGGACGGCGGCGACGGCCCCCCGGCGCCCGCGGGCGGCCCGCAGGCCCCGTCCCCGCCGCCCGCCTGCCCTCAGGACCAGCACCACTTCCTTCGGTCCAGCGTGAGGCCGCAGAGCAAGAGGCTCAGGAAGGACTCGTCGTGCGCCGGGGGGAGCGGCGGCGCGGGCGGCTCGGGGCCGCGCGGAAAAGGTGAGGGGGACTCCGGCTTCTGCGGGGTGGGGGTGGGGGGCAGGGGGGCCCTGCCCGTGCCCTGGCTTCCGCGGCGGGGGGCACCGTGCAGGGGGACGCGCCCCCGCTCTGCCCCGAGGAGCCTGTTTCTCTGTGTCGGAACTACGTGAGGAGGCAGTGAGGACCCTCTCTCCGGGCAAGTACAATGGATTCCTGAAGGGTGGGTTTTGTTTTCTCCGAAAGGATCGTCTGTGATTTACATGGTAGGCTATTTCGCAGACAATGCTTTGGGGAAGGAAAGAGAGAATACCTCCTGTATCTCTTTCCCGGACGCACAACAAAGGAGTGGGCTTTCCAAACCCATTGCATAGGAAGCCAAACATGATTGATCACAGGGTCTGACTGGGGCCCATCGCCCTCCACCTCAGGTATTCCAGGCTCAGGAGTCCTAAAGACATCCAGATGCAGCCCTTTGAGTCCACAAAGGGTTCCCTGGGTGCCACAGAAACCGTGTCCCCTAGGGCAGGAGGCCACGGGAACACTTGGTGACCTGGTACAGGCAGGGAGCAGTCTGGGTGTTCGCCCCGGTGCTCCCGGTGAGGGAGGGTGGTACAGCTTTCCTGGGGTCCCCACCCCAATCAGAAGAAAACCACGTGCTAGTGTGGTTGCTGCTTTCCTCTGTTTGTGCGCCCGCCTTCCTGACTGTATAAGTGAGCTCCTCTTCACTCCTCTTCGTCTGAGGCCAAGTCTGCAGCACTTTTACAGATAGCAGATGTAACAGAGTTCCGGTGAGCTTTACAGGAAAGAAACTTTTACTTAGTTCCTTGGGAAATGGTAATTTAAGTTTATTAGAAGCCCTGACAATTTGAAGAAGGAAAGATTTCAGAAACTAACAAAGAACCATTTTGGAGATGCGTGCAAATACGTACATTTACACTTGCTTCTGCCTTCTCTTCACCTGGGGAGGGCTGGCATCTGAAATCATGCTGGCCTTACCAGATTTTTGGTAAAGATACTTGATGTAAGCATACTTAAGGTTGTGAGTATAAGGTAATTTTGCATGTTTCAGAAATTAAGCCTTGTGTCCTATGCGTTTATGTTGGTGTGAAAGTTGCTGATCAGTTAGGAAAGCATTGATTTGTTTTATCAGCTTTGTTTTGTAAAAAATAGTTTTTCACTCCTAGTTACAGGTGTGTCTGAGTTATCACCAGTAAGCTCCTGGGATGCCTTCAAGGGTTTGTTTGTGGCTCAGAAGTCCTGGCAGCGTCCACGGCCTTGCCAACTTGGCTCTCTGACCTGCATCTGCTCGTCTGACTTGTTGAATCTGCCGGAATGAGAAGCACACTCACCTGTGAGACAAGGTGGTGAAGTGAAAGCACTCTGCACCTGTACGCGGCCGCCCCGTGGGAGGCGGAGTGGTGCTTACGCTTTGGGGTGCAGTTGCTCTTGGCAGTCAGGTGATGAGGGGAGGTCTGCTTTTGTTCGCATAGTTGAGCGTGGCTCATCCAGAGAAGGTCTCCTGGATTAGCCTCCCATCAGCCGTTGGCACTTCTCTTCTTGGTTCTTGTCCCTGTGTGTGCTTGGGGCAGCAGTCGACTTTCTGTTAGGAGAATGGATATGTGTTAGAATTGGTGCTTCTTGTGACTTTTGTGTATTTTCTTGTTTTAGCAAGCACATATTTCTTTAATTAAACAATAAAGCTAAACCGTAATGGTGGCTTTTAGGAGTAAGAAGCGTGTCTGCTTTGCTTCATAGAAAGTGTTGAGCCTGGCATTTCCTGGGGGGGCCTGATCTTGTCGGCACCTGTCGCTGTGCCCAGAACACCCCCCTCCTCATGCCTCCATAACCTCTGCTCACTTACCACCTCCATGAACAGCCAGCAAAGGTCCGGTTCCAACAGCACGCCTGGTAACCTCTGCAAACATTTCTTAGAGGAGTGTTTGTCTTAACAGACTGGAAATCTCCATCTCGGGTGCTGAGTGCAGATCAGCGAGGAAACGAACAGTCCTAGCATTTGTTAATTTTTCGCTTGAAAACAATGTAATTTCCATTATGCTCAAGGAGTGCTCCCAGTCCAGTCATTGGCGGTTCCTTGGTTGATCACTGACTGCTCTTGCCAGTTTGAATCTGAACTGCCAGGCGTGAGAACCTTGCCGTGAGTCTGGAGGAAAAGCCTTAGGGAGGAAAGGAGGTCTGCCTTGTGCCTCTGTGCACACCACTCTGCTTTCTTTCTGAGAAGACAGTCTTTTGTCAACTTCAACAAATAATGCTTTTGTAGCACAATTCCGAATTAGGTTATGTGCTACACATGTTACCTCTCTCTTACTCTCATTTTAAATGGGTGCAGAAACTGAGGTTTGTTGTCTTAATAACGGGGTGAGCTGCAGGCCAGAAACCAGTAGACCTCCTTGATGCCAGCGCACATGTTCCTGCTGCCCCACCTTGCCACCCAGAGTGACCCGAGGGTGCTCTTGAGACCGAGATCCAGAGTTCGTGTATCTCTGAGAACCTGGTCCAGGAGACAGAGCCCCGAAGCCCTTCTCCTTCTGGCCAGTTTGTGATTTGGGTGATTCTTGGCTAACTGGTCTCTTTCTTGGAGCCTCAATTTCTTTGTCCGTAAATGGGGATAATGCCAGTGTTTGGCTCAGCACAGTAAATAACACAGCCAAGGCCTGCCGTAAGTGGTTAAAAGGTTCCCGGGGCTTCTGTTATGGAAAACGTGGTAGCTTTGAGGTTAGGGAGCTACAGAGTCTGGACAGGTAGACTGGGTTGGGTATCACCTGTTGGGAGGTAGAGAGAGAGGTCCCAGGAATATTCCTAAGCTGTTGACTGCCCTGTGGGGCAATTGTAAGCACAAGGTAGACTCTCAGTTTCTCTGCTGCCCTTCAGTCCCCTACCCCACCCCCTTTCTGCCCAAGAACCTTCATTCTCCCCAACTTCAGGCCAGCTGGTCATGAATTGTGCCATCTCCACAGTTGGGCAGTGTCGCCTGGTTTCACTGTGCTTGTACTTAGGAATCAGTAAATCACTGTAGAGAACTTACTTATATTTTGCATAAACTGCGGGCTGCTTATAGCTTCCAGGTGTTTTTGAAAGACATCAGATGAGACATGTCACCCTGATGTGGTCAGCCTTTGAGAGATGAGTACCATATGGCAGAGAGGGGTGAGCCAGCAGTCAGGAGACCTGACTTCTCCCCCAGAGCTGCTTTGTGGCTGGCTCAGCTATGGGGCAAAGGGAAAGTCCCTTGACGTGCCTGAACTTTAGGTTCATTACTTCCAAAATGGGTTGGGTGAGATAGTGCCTAAAACCATCCTGACCTTAATGCTTAGGGGTGAAGGGGTCAGCTGTGCAGACGGGACTTGGATCCTGTGTGTTTCAGGAGAGATTCTGGAAGGTAGGTTGCTTGAAAACAGGGTAGCTCTGTGTTTTGGGCTCTGCCTAGCCCTTGCCTCTGGGGGAGCCCCTGGCAGGGAGTGGTCAGAGTGTGCCCCTTCTACCCAGGGGCGTGCCCGCGTTGTTACGCAGGCACAGTCTGCTTGTCGTCGGCTCTGCGGTCACTTGTCACTGCTCGGGCATTTGGGCCAGGCCCCAGGAGGCCGGTTGAAGTATGGCCATGAATGCTGTGAACTCCCTGTCCTTCATACTCTCTGTGGAGGGAGAGGGACAATCAGATTGTCAAGACCACTGAGGCTATAGCGCTCTGATTCTTGTGCCCAGTGTGACTCAGTAAGTGATGTTTAATAAAATCAGATGCAGTGATGACAGTGTGGAGCCCACTGTGGCCACCTGGGCAGGGGCACCGGGCTCTGCCGAAAGCCCTCAGACCTTGTAGGGAGAAGAGGAGGAGGAAGGCAAGGCCTCTGCCCCCTCGCCCCACACACCCTGCGTGCGGCACCGTAAGGTAGGAGACACAGTAACCTGGACATGTCCTATTGTGTGCCCCGGACCCCCTGTGCACGGTAGGTCAGGAGACCTGTGTCCCTGGCCACTTCAGAGATGGGCCGTGATGGAACTGCAGGCTAGAGAGGGAAACCCCTGCAACCCAGGGGCTCTTGTAAATTATTAAGTTCAGAGTTGTATGGATTACACTCGTTTTGCATCGAAGACACGGACAGAGTGTAGAGACCAATAGGTGAGGTAACATTTCAATATTGGTTTGAAGGCTGAGCTACTTCTCAAATACCTTGTTGGCTTTAATGTCAAAGCTAGCGTTTCCATGGTGTTTGCTTGTGGAATTGTCCTTTGCCAACCAAGGATACTGTAGGATTTTCATCTTATGTAGTATGTTGTGTCTTATTTTGTATCATATGAAGATGTGAAGATGATAAAGGAATGATTTCAGATAGTGGAGTCATAGATGTAAGAATGAGCTTTGTCATAGGTAGGGGTGCATGGAAGCATTTTAGGACATGGAGTAAGTGCAGTGTTAGCACTGAATAGCGACGGGAGAAATGCCAGAGAAGGAAGAGGTTCTAAGGTGTTGTGTTTGCGACGGATGTCGAGAATTCCAGAAAGTCTTCACCTTATTTGACGGAGAAGGCATATGTTTTCATGGAAACAATGGGGTTTTAGTTATGTTTTTCTCAAACGTTTTGGGGTGAAGCGGTGTGCCTGTGAGGGAGCGCAGCCCCGGGAGTGTAGAGGACGCCGAGGCTTGGTGCCATGTGGAGGCTGCGGACACTGCGGGCTGTGATTGGGGTCGCCCCGGACCGCATGGTTCCAGGTCACCTTCGGCTCATGGAACAGGATGTCTCAGAGGCGGGGACCCTGCGCCGGGGCTCTGGTGGTACGGCTGCAGCGTCCACACTGGTTCTGCAGAGACCGGTGGAAGGACGAGCCCGTGGGAGGCTGCCTTGCGGAGCGCTGGCCGCGTGGAGCGGAGCAACTCTTGGAGGCCCGTTGGGCAGTGGTGCGTGATGTGCATGATGACAGACACCGGCCCGGGGAAGCGTCTGGATCTGCCTGCCAAGGCGACACCCTGACTGGGAATGGCCTTGGTGGAGAGGGTGCCCCCTCAGTCACGTCCAGGCTGTGAAAGCAAGCTTGACGGTTGTGGCGCCTGACACAGGTGAGCTGTGCTACAAGGGGTGCAGGAGCGGCCCCCAGGAGACTTTGGCATTTTGTCTCCACCTCGACTGTGGCATATTGTGACCTGAGGTGGACAGGTGCATGGACCAGGTGTGCCATCCTCGGCCTCTGAGAGATCCCTGTCCTCTCGTACCACAGACCCAGGCCACGGGGAAGCGTTCCCGCGCCGGGGTCGGAGGCAGGTGCGCCTGCAGACGGACTGCCTTTAGCTCATGTTGAACCATCTTCCCAGCTGAGAAGGTGCGGAGTGGATGAAGTGAGGGGAGGCTCATGTGTTCTCCCCTCGAGGGACATCACTGAGCATCTCGCAGTGCTGGTCTGCTGTGTTCTCTGTTAACGTTCCTGACCCTGGGAAGGAACTTTCCCAGACTCTGAAAGAAAGCTCTGGGATAGTGAGTTATTGCCTGATAGGACAGATTGTCGTTACATCTTTTGTCTGTGACCTAAATTGAGTCATGCAGTTTTGTTTTTAGAGGTGAACATCCTCCCAACATCCTAACTCTTGCCACTATTAGCTGTGTGGCTTTGGGCAAGTCACTGAACCTGTTGAGGACGGAGGGAGGGGTGTCAAGGTCCAGTTCCCTCCCCTCCAAACCCCTGGATCCTTTAGCTCTGTGTGGAGTAAAGATACAGAAGCATCCGTAACACGGGTGGCAGCCGCCATGGTGTCGTGTGGCTCAAGAGGAAGATGCCCAGGCTTGGTTCTAGCTGCCCGGTGACCTTGGGCCATCTCTGAAATGTAGACAATAGCTACGTGCTGAGAAGACAGAAAGGAGCAAAGCATTTGCACGTGCTCCTGAGGTGCCGTGGAGCCGCACGCTCCTGGGTCCGAGCAGCCGTGTGGCATGCCCGGCAAGCTGCTCCCCTCCCCAGGTCTAAGCACCCCCACTTGGAAGATAGGGATTGTTTCCTCCACTTCAGGTGGTGTGAGGGGCATGGGTGATAGGGTTCCAGGCTCATTCAGAGATGTGTGATGGCGGGGACCTAGAGGAAGCAGGCAGCCTAGCTTGTCCAGAGGCAGAGTGGGCAGCCGTGCAGCCTCGGAAGGCAGACCGCAGCCACACGTCTGCATCCCTCAAATGCAAGCTCTGGAGAACAGGCTGTGGCCGGGGTTGGTGATTTGGAGACCAGGGAGGAGGCTGTTAAAGTTATCTTACTCAGGGGTGGTATGGAGCTGGCCTGGGAACATGGCCACAGAAATGGGGACAGGAGAAGCTGGGTGGTCCCTGGGCAGCTGGAGGACTGTGACACAGAAGTAGGCTGACAGGGAAGAGTGGGCTCTGTTGGAGGCATTGGGTCTCGGGCGGGTGAGGGGCCCCTGCCCTGCTCTCCGTGGGTTTCTGAACTCTAGTGGAGCATCTGCTGTGTTTGAGGCCTGGTGCCAGGCTTGGGCACTGAAAAGTCAGACACTGTTCCTGCTTTCAGAGACCTTGCTGTTGGGATCCTATTCTTGTACATTGCTTCCCTGCAGGTTCCTTGGATACCGACATCTCATCACGCGGACCCTTGTTCACTCTCTTTGTGGCCTCAGAAACTAGTTGCAGACAGAGCATTGACTTTGGTCCTCTACTTTTTTCCGCTGGGCTTCTTGCACCTGCTGCCCCCACCCCCCTACCCCCGGAGAAAGCCCCTGTACCCACCCAGTCTTGTTCATAGTGGTCTTCTCTTTCTGCCTCCGGCCTTCCCACTTCTGTCCTTGCCTGCTTCTCTCTCCCCCTTTACTCATCACTGTTTTTATTGCAATGCTTCTGCACAGGTGGGAGGCCCCCTACCCAGGGGCCCACTGTCGCGTTCCCTCACAGTCTCTCTGGTCCTATTTCTTGTTTCTGGTGTGCTTGGATGAGCCTGAAGTGAAGCGCTGAGCCATTCTTGTCTGAAATTTGGGGGATGAACCAGATGTCCTGTTCTCTTTCTACTCTGAAGTTTTGTGATTCTAGTTTACTTTTAAAAAGCATTCAAGGTCTAGAATCATGGTCACCAAACGTTAGAAATGGTTACTTGGGGTGATTGGTTTTCGCTTTTGAACGTTTTGACCTTTCATATGTTTTCTTTATCCTGCTCTCTATCTCTGAGGGTCTTTCCAGCTCAGAAATGCTTCCATTGTGTTTTCCTTCACTGTTCATTCTCCTTGTCTTGGTTCTCACTGGTCCTGTGATCCAGTGAAATCTCACAAGAGCTAGCCAGACATCTGCATTATAGACTTCTCAGAAACCTACGTCTGTTCCTTTCAAGTAGGTCCGATACTGCTGTGGGCTGGCAGAGAGGTAAACCTGAGCTGTGATTGTTGTCGGGCTAGTGAGCAAGCTGCTGTTGTTTTGGAAAAAAGAGAGTTAACGAATGCTTCATCAGAAGTTGAAAATGACTCTGACGTGCTCTGTTGTGGGTGGCGCAGAGGTGGACGGCAGCCCTTCCTCAGATAACTCCACCTGAGGGGTTAAAGGCTCCAACTCAGCAGGCCCTTCCTGTGCGTAAGAGCCGTGTCCTGAATGGCTGCCGCGACCTGGCCTTGCGTTTGAAGCAGAAGCGTCTGTGAGGCGATGGGAAATGGCCTGAAGCCGGTCATCCCTGCAAATGTGCTTGAAAGTCACCACCTGTTGGAGACATCTTGGGAAGTGCTGGGTTCACTAATTAGGTCATGTCTTGGGTTTGGTTTGGTTTGGTGAGGAATGGACCAAGTCAGATGTGTATTGAATACACCCCCCCTTAGCCCACCAGGCAGCATCTTGCCACCTGTTGTGCCCGCGGGCCAGGGGAGGAGCAGCCGGAGGAAGGGCTGGTGGGGCTGCGACACCCGGAGCCTGACGGTATCTTACTCTATCGGGGCACTGCGGACCATGATTGTCAAGCTCTCGGACAGAGCGCTGGCACTTTCTGCGATGCTAGAAATACTCTGTGCTCACCAGCATGGGAGCCACGAGCTGCACGTGGGCATTGGCCACTAGAAATGTGGCTGGTGTGAACAAGGAACTGGGTTTTTTGTTTTATTGAATTTTAATTCATCAGCATTTACGCCTTGGGTGGTGGCAGCTGAATTGGACAGTGCAGTGGGATAAACAGCGATTTTGGGGACCCAGTCACGTTGCCTTCTGAAGTCACCAAACTGGTGCACTTTTCCACATGAGAGAATATCCCCCATTTTATGTAGCGGTGTGATTTTTCTGCATGTGTGACCACACATTCTGCTCTCCAATAGCTGACTGATCTAACATAGGTCCGTGGCACACTCTGGGGGAGGTCCAACATGTGTGTTAGAGCACAGTGACCCTGCCTCCCCCTGTCCCTCGGGCCACCCTTGCCCCATGGCTTGTGTTTTTCCAGGGATGGTCTTTGCAAGTGTATATGGATTAGTGGATTTAAAATGTTTCACTTCCTCTGATTTTCTGTGAAATCCCTGTCTTTCGTCCCTGCTCTGGAGGCAGACCCCTGTCAAGGAGATGAGGGAAGTGTAGCCACGTAGGGAGGCCCCTGATTGCCCAGGAAGAGGACCTCCCTCGAAAAGCTCATGATTGGGGCGCCTGGGGGGCTCAGTCGTTAAGCATCTGCCTTCGGCTCAGGTCATGATCCTGGGGTCCTGGGATCGAACCCTGCATTGGGCTCCCTGCTCCTCGGGAAGCCTACTTCTCCCTCTCCCACTCCCCCTGCTTGTGTTCCTGCTCTTGCTGTGTCTCTCTCTGTCAAATAAATAAAATCTTTAAAAAAAAAGAAAAGAAAAGCTCATGATTATCTCACTAGGAAAGCATTTTAACAATAATTTGCATTTGTTTCACTTTCGCTTTTTTTTTTTAATTGAAGATTTTACTTATTAGAGAGAGAGCACGCACAAGCGGGGGGAGGGGCAGAGGGAGAGGGAGAAGCAGGCTTCCTTCTGAGCAGGGAGCCCGATGTGGAACTCGATTCCAGGACCCTGGGATCATGACCTGAGCCGAAGGCAGACGCTCAACCGACTGAGCCACCCAGGTGTCCTCACTTTTGCTTTTCAAAACACTTTTATTTTTATGATCTTATTTTTACCACCCTGCCCCCCCCCCCCACCAAACTGTGCAGAGTTTGATGATTGCTCACCATGGATGGTCCTGAAGTTCCATAGGATGAAATTCCAGTCATTGCAGGGGTGTGCCCGGCCTTCCCTGCACTCTGAGGAAGGGACCAGATGGGTGGGAAGATTGGGTCACAAAAGGTTTTTATCTGTGACTTTGCCTCTGTTCTCCCAGGAGCATGGAGCTGTCAGTCCGTGGCAGCCCCGCACAGTCCATCCTGCTCTCCCCTCTCAGCGTGGCTTCCAAGGGCTCGTCGTGAGATTAGGAACTGATATTTTCAGAGCAGTTGTGAGGTTGTCATTAGATTTTGTTGGTGAAAATTGATCAAGAAAAAGGAGTTCCAAGACCTTTTAAAGATTCTTTTAAAGGCATCAAATGATTCGTGTTCTGAAGTATTGGTTATATCTAAGAGAAGGCATTGAAACTCAGATGTTTTCTTGAGTTTGAATTTCAATTTGTTGATTTGAAAAGACAAGATTTATTTCACCCCAAACACATTGGAGAAAGACACTGTAATATATGATGTGGGTTTTCAGGTCATGGGGGCAAAGGGCTGTCGGCCTCTGGTGGGGACGTGGTGGTCATACTCCTTCATTGGGTCTGCAGAGAGCTCGCTCTTCTTTTTCTCCCTGTAAAAAGGTTGGAAAGAGTCATGAGGTCAGGTCGGGATGAGGTCGTTGCCGAATAGCGCTAGCGGGCGTCCAGTGGTGGCGCCACCCAGTGGAGGCGTGTGCAGTGGGGCCTTCCTGAGCTCTGCTGCCTTCTGGAACAGGTCACCATATGGTTCTTTCTTTCCAAGGAGCTGACGGTGGCGGATCATCGTCCGGAAATGGGTCTGGGGCTGTTCCTGCTGCACCTGCGGGGGGCTCTCGCTCCTCTTCCCGGAACTTGGGGTCTTCCAGCGGTGAGAAGGAAGAAGGCAAGAAGGCCCGGCGGCAGTGGGAGTCGTGGAGCACAGAGGATAAGAACACTTTCTTCGAGGGGCTCTATGAGGTGAGCTCTGGGGCCAGGACAGGCGGCCGAAAGTCCCAGTCTCTTTCCACTCTGTCCGTGTTTCTGTTTCTGTTGGCCTCTGCCTTGCTGACCACGTGGCTGCAAGATCTACTAGGTCAGCAGTTCAGTGGGGAGCCCCTCGCGGGCAGCAGGCGTGGGTCCCCAAGGCCCCAGACTCGCCCTCTGACCTTGGCTCTTTATCCCCTCATTGTGACTTTTAAAAGCTGATGCTAGTGAAGTGGCTGTTAGGAGGTGTTCTTGTTTGATTCATTTCATTCTACTCCAAGAGTCTACCCGTTGTCTCAGGTACATTCTTTTTTCTCTTTTTTAAAGATTTTATTTATTTTTGAGAGAGCATCCGCGCAAGTGAGAGCAGGGGGAGGGGCAGAGAGAGGCAGAGAGAATCTTAAGCAGACTCGTTGCTGAGCGCAGAGCCCCACATGGGACTCAGTCTCATGACCCTGAGATCATGACCTGGGCTGAAACCATGGGTTGGACACTTAACCTATTGAGCCCTGCAGGCACCCTGAGATACATTCTTGACTGAAGGGTGGAGCCTGTCTCTGGGCCTTCCCCTTGCAGTTGAGAGGGCTCCTCAGAGGAGTGGCCCCTGATGGGGAGGGACAAGGGGACACTTGCCACATCAGTCAGAGCCGGCAGCTTAACCCCGAGAGATGTCACAGTGGACCTGGGACAGAGTCGAAAGTCCTAAAAGTAGAGAGAAGCTGCTCCCGGATCCCACTGCCCAAAGAAGCACCTGTGCTCCCTACCAGCTGTTTTCACTTCCACGGTTTGCTTTTTCATGTGTTTGTAACTATGGAGAACATATTCCTTTTGTTAATGTCAAATGCACTTTCATGGTAGGTTACAGTTCTTATGTTGAGTATTTTTCTTAGTGCCTATAAATATTCTACTTCAGATGAAAACAACCTGTGGCTTGTATGCTCGCTGCCCGTTTTTGTTTTTTTTTTTTAAGATTTTATTTATTTATTCATGAGAGACAGAGAGACAGAGAGAGAGAGAAGCAGAGGGAGAAACAGGCTCCCAAGGAGCAGGGAGCCCGATGTGGGACTCGATCCCAGGACCCTGGGATCATGACCTGAGCCGAAGGCAGACGCTTAACCATCTGAGCCACCCAGGTGCCCTCGCTGCCCGTTTTTATAAATAAAGCTTTATTGGGACGCAGCCATGCCCATTCACTTGTATATAGTTTCTGGCTGCTTTTGAGGACAGTGGCAGCTCCAGCAAATACTGAGTGGCCCGAGACATTTGAGTGTTTACCCTCTAGCCAGTCCTCACTCTCTTTCACCATCCTTGTATCCTTGGTTGTTGTGGTTCCTTCCAGGTTTTGTTGTAAGCGATGCTACACTGAACATCTTTGTGCATATTCCATATTTTAGACTGCTTCATTGGGCTATAGTGTCAGGAGTAGGTTACTCAGTCAGCGAGCCTATTCCTTTAATAGTGATAGCAGTGATGGAAAAGTCTTGCCAAGCTTGGCAAACAGGGCTCATAGCAGAAAGGGGCTTTGGAATTGATGCTCTGAAGTGTCCATGAGAGATTAGAAAGGGTGAGGAGCTAGAACTCAATGCTGGTGTCAGAATAGTCCTGTGGCTGCCCCTCTCACTTCAGGGGGCCACCGCTTCGGTTCTGCCGTCCCGGTTGGAGGAGGCCCGTCTGTCCGTGTTGATGGACTCCGTCGTCCAGGGAGACCATGAGGTGTATATTTGAGGCTTGTTCCTGTAGGTACAGAGTCTTTCAAGCGAGTTCAGATGTGTTCTCTTTCTTCCCTGTGACAGTTTAAGAGGATAGCCTAGGGGCTGATTTTGTATAGTTACATCCCCAGACTGTGCCTCTTTGAAGTTGGTTAGGCAGAGAAGACTGGAGGCCCCAGGACCATTGTCACATCGTGCCGCTGATTGATGCTCCCCTGCAAGCTTTGCTGTGGTCCTTCCTGGGGAGATCGCGGCTCTGCGGGGGTCTGGCCACCCGGGTGCAGAATGCAGGCCGGAGCTGTGCTTGTCGATTAAAAGTGGGGGAAGGATTCCCCGTCAGTGACCCACCCTGCCTTTCTTCAGGTAAATTAGTTCGTTCGCTTCTCGCTGGGCCAGCCTTCTTGTTCTACATTTTCTGCTAGATAGGTGTTGGAGGTCTCCTGAAATCCTTGATGAACAGTCTCTGTTGTGGTCACTTCCTGCTTTCCACAGTTGGTGCTGTGTAGCCCACATGTGCTGTGTGCACACTGTGTGAGTGTGCGTGCGCACGTTGGGGCGGAGGCATGAGTGCGTGCTTTACAGCTGACACTTGGTGTGTCTGCCCAAGGCGCAGCGGGACCCTGACGGGGTCTTGATGGAGGGCTGATGAGCTGGGGGGCTGTGACTGAACAGTGTATGTGGGGTGGGGTGTGGGAGCTCAGCACGGGTCTCTGCTCTGCAGCGTATGTGCCATCATCCCTGCCTTCCGGTGCACACGTCTGACGACCCAGCTCAGCACAGAGAGGCTGTCATGACCTAGAGGGACGGGGCGGGGGACTGGCTGAAGCCCGACTGGATGCAGGAACTCCCAACGATGTCATGGAGGCTGTGTCACCCCGCGTGCAGGCGGTGACATGCTGTGCTTACTGCCTCCTTGACAGCACTCAGAGACGAGAGTGCCACCCCCACCACCCACTCCAGCTGGGACAGGTCTGGGAAGACTCAGATGGGCCAGGCCTGTCCCACACTTCCTGTGGCCAGGGGTGTGGGTCGTGGCCCCCATGACAGGGAGCTGGTGGGGCGGCCAGCAGGGCGAGTGCCTGTAGTGATGTCATCCTTGACACCCTCTTACTCTGTTTCGAGTAAGCCGGTCACTGACTTTTCGTTTTCCTTCTTCTGTCTGTGGTTCCTGCCCTACAGCTGCATAGCCAGCATCCTGTGCTTACTTCTCACCGCGTAGATAATTGCTAAAGGTTCATCTGCATCCAGAGCACCACAGGAGTGCTAGGATGCAAAGAAGTCCCCCTTAAGGGTTGACAGTCTGATTAGGGAAATGCAGCAGGAACATAAAAGGTGGCGCAGTCAGGAAGCCTGTGCTAACAAATGCCCCAAGAATTCAGAAGGCAGCATAGTCTGAGAGTCACCAGACCCAGATTCTGGTCCCAGGCTGGCGAGCGCGCACCTGTCTGGATTTGCTGCCCTGCTGCACAGGGGAGCTGAGGGACGGAGAGGCTGTCTGGGCTTGCTCCGTCATGGTTCTGATCAGGGGCTGAGGGGGGACCTGTGGGGGAGGGCGCACCCAGAGGAGGGCATTCAAGATACCTTTTTATGTTCTTTATTTTTATAACAGTGAAGAAGCTTTAATTCTTAGATTTCTTATACTTTAACTTTTCACTTTAAAACCATTTCAGACTTGGAAAAAGTTGCAGAAAAAGTACAAAGAATTCCATGTGCCCTTTCCTGATGTTCACATAATGTCACTGTTACCAGCACAATGAGGAGATTCGACGTGGATACTGTAGCATTTACTGACCTGTGGGCCTTACTCAGGTTTAGCTGGTGTTCCCACTGATGTCATTTCTAGATCAGGTTCCCACATTGCATTCAGTGGTCATGACTCCTGAGCCCTCCACACGCAGACAGGCCCTCAGTCTCTGCCTCCTTTCTTCCGTCTTTCAAGACCTTGACGCTTTTTTTTTTTTAATTCAAATTCAGTTTAGTTAACCTGTACTGTATTACTAGTTTCAGGAGTAGAAGTTAGTGATGTATCATTTGCATATGACACCTAGTGCTCATTCCGTCGTGTGTCTTCCTTAATGCCCATCACCCAGTTACCCCATCCCCCCCACCTCCCCTCCAGCAACCCTCAGTCTGTTTCCTAGAGTTAAGAGTCTCTTACAGTTTACCTCCGTCTCTGATTTCATCTTATTTTTCCTTTCCTCCCCCTATATTTATCTGTTTTCTTAAATTCCACGTGTGAGTAAAATCATATAATTGTCTTTCTCTGACTGACTTATTTTGCTTAGCATAATACCCTCTAGTTCTATCCACGGCATTGCAAATGGCAAGATTTTGTTCTTTTTGATGGCTGCATAGTATTTCATTGTATATATAGACCACATCTTCTTTATCCATTCGTCTGTTGATGGACATCTGGGCTCTTTCCGTAGTTTTGCTATTGTGGACATTGCTGCTATGAACATTGGGGTGCATGTGCCCCTTCGGATCACTACATTTGTATCTTTGGGGTAAATATCCAGTAGTGCAATTGCTGGGTCATAGGGTAGCTCTGTTTTTATTATTATTATTATTTTTAAAGATTTCATTTATCTATTTGACGCAGAGAGACAGCGAGAGAGGGAACACAAACGGGGAGTGGGAGAGGGAGAAGCAGGCTTCCCGCCAAGCAGGGAGCCTGATGTGGGACTTGATCCCAGGACCCCGGGACCATGACCCGAGCTTAAGGCAGATGCTTAACAACTGAGCCACCCAGGCGCCCGGGTAGCTCTATTTTTAATACTGTTTTCCAGAGTGGCTGCATCAGCTTGCGTTCCCACCAACAGTGTAAGAGGGTTCCCCTTTGTCCGCGTCCTCGACAACATCTGTTGTTTTCTAAGTTGTTAATTTTAACCATTCTGACAGGTGTGAGGTGGTATCTCATTGTGGTTTTGATTTGTATTTCCCTGATGCCGAGTGATTTTGAGCATTTTTTCATGTAAGACCTTGACATTTTTGAAGATTCCTGGTCTGTTGGGTTGTGGAATGCTGTCAGTGTGGGCATCTCTGAGGTTACCTCATAATTAAATGTACATTTTGCATTTTTGTCAAGAATCCCACAGGAGTGCCAGGCTGTTCTGGGCGCATCCTGTCCAGAGTGCGTGATGTGCTCCATCCTGTCTGGTGGTGTGAACCTTGATTATTGCATTCAGGTGGCACCTGCTGGGTCCTGTACCGACTAGTCTTTTTCTTTTTTTTTTCCTTTTTACTTTGGGACTATGTAAATACCCTGTTTTTCATTTCTTTCTCCACTAACTTTAGCAACCATGCCACTTTTTACCTGAAATAACTATGATTACACTGTTTGCCTAATGATGATTTTCTGACCATTCTTTTTTCTACAATTATTAGAGATCTCGTGCAAGAAAAAGCTCTCCCTTCTCCCCCCATTTAGGTACGAATGCAATGATTTATTTTTATCTGTGTGGACTCAAGGACATGTAGCCTATTCTATGTCACAATCCGTTCCTATCTCTGTTGGTTTTGTTGCCCAAATTGTTGCAGGTTTGGGAGCCTCTTCAGGTTGGCTCCTGTCATGCTCAAGCACTTGCATACTTTCCAGCACAGCAAGATACTCCAGACTCACTGGTACTTTACTTGCTCCCATCTCTTCAAGGCACCCTGGTTCCTTCTGGGAAGTGGGATTTAGAAGCCAAGAAAGGGGTGCTGGGGGTGCTTGCGCTGCTGGTCTGCTGTCACCTCTGGGCCCTCCCCAGGACTTTTGTCTTGGCTTCGATGAAGTATCAGAAGCTCCCACACAGTGCTGGTGGTGACTGTTCTCTGGAACACCACTTCCATTCTGAAAATGCCAGAAGATCTCAGTTCCTACGAGGAGATGTTGAAGGAAGGGATGGCCCATAGATATGTGGTTCTCTTACTAAGTGTTCATATTTGCTGTCCCTGTGAATATAGGTTAGTTTTCATTTGGTCGAAGCAGTGAGGATGTTTTCTGAATAGTTGACGTATTGTTTTGAAGCCAGGTATAGAGCACCCTCACCTCCTCCATCCTTGTAGTCTGTGTTCTGGGTTCCCGTGATTGTCTTCACCGAGCGGTCTTCTTTCATGGTCTCTCGGCCCTTCCGTCTGAGGGATGAGCATTGTGCTCTCCTACTCCAGGGCTCTTTCCTCTTTGGTCTCCTATCCCTGAGTTTCCACTGCTGCTTTGTCCGTTATTTGAGTTAAAACCTGAGGTTCTAGGGAGGTGAGGTTGAATTTCATATACAAAGAAGAGCCGTGAAGGACGTTTGCTTGACCACAGTGGTCTCCTTTTCCCTTTCTCCTTTCTCGGGAAGTGTCTGGGTTGTGCAGAAGACTGCCTTGTTGTAACCTCTGTGCTTTTAATGTGGACTTCATTTTCTAGCATGGGAAAGACTTTGAAGCCATTCAGAACAACATTGCCCTCAAGTACAAGAAGAAAGGCAAACCAGCAAGCATGGTGAAGAACAAAGAGCAGGTTCGGCATTTCTACTACCGCACGTGGCACAAGATCACCAAGTACATTGACTTTGATAACGGTGAGTGTGCTTGGGCACAGTTCGCTGCTGGTCAGGAACTGGTTCCCACAAACCCACAAGACACACCCTCTGGCATTGTTCTCACCTGGCCACATGGCCAGGGATACCGTGCCTCGTGGCGCTTTGGCTGGTGGTACGTCGGTTAAGCTGAATGGTGAGGAAGCTGTGTGTATTTCTAAGGTCCCTGGGTGCCTGGGCGTCTTGGTCCCTGGCTCACTCTGGTCCCGTGTCCCGTGCTGGGAGGCTAGGGCCCCCGGTTGACCAGGAGAGGCGGGCCACGGGTACGGGCCGGCCAGAATCGGACCCCCTCGGTGCCCGCCCTTCTTTCCCAAGTGGGGGCTCCTTGGGGTGAGGGTGGGGTATGGCCAGTGTGTGGTGGGCCAGGGGGAGGGCCGGCGGGGAGGGCTAGCTTTCTCAGGGCTCTTGTCTGCGTTTGAAGCCAGGCTCGAGTAGTCCTGTGTTCGGTTCACATGTCCGGGTCAGCACTCAGAGCGGCCTTTCCGACCAGCCTCTTTGTCCCTAGGGGAGGTGTGGCTACCTCCTGTCTCCACGTGTCATGCCTGCCTCTCCGTCATCAATTCACCTTTCTTGATGTTGCTCTTCGTTTCTATAGCTTCACTCATAGCTCGGTCATTCCGGACATTTGTTTCTACCAACGTCACTCATTTCTGACTCTCCTGTTAAAATAGTCTAAGTTCTGATGTAGAATAGCTGTGGTGGCTATGGTCTGTCACTCGCACTTTGAATCTTTGCCGCTGTGAGCCCTTGGTGTCAGCCCTGATGGATGACCTCCCGTGTTTCCCGTGGGCATACTCTCGGCCCATTTGGGGAGTCTCGGCCATGCGTGTGCCAGCGACCCCCCAGGCTGACCCATCCAAGTCTCCTCCCTGGCTCTCCCACGGGTCAGCATTCCGGGACATGGGGTTCCTCCTCTGGCCTGACAAAGGCCCAGAGAGCACGATTCAAGCAGTCTCCTTTTTTTTTTTTTTTTTTTT